TTCCTATGGGATTCAAGACTCCGAAGTTCGAGAAATACGATGGGCACGGCGATCCTATCGCTCATCTTAAGAAATACTTCAATCAGCTGCGAGGAGCTGGAGGAAAAAAAGAATTCCTCATGGCTTACTTTGGGGAAAGTTTGGTGGGTATCGCCTCCGAGTGGTACATGGATTAGGATATCTCTTGATGGCACATCTGGGACGACCTCGCGAGAGACTTTGTTAGACAGTTCCAGTACAATATAGATATAGCTCCAGACCGGAACTCATTGGCAAATCTGAAGAAGAGGTCCTCAGAAAGCTTTTGAGAATATGCAATTAAGTGGCGTGAGCAAGCATCGGGAGTAAAGCCTCCAATGGATGAGGTGGAAATGGTCTCGGTATTTCTTCAAGCCCAGGAAGCTGATTATTTCCAGAATATGATGTCAGCTATGGGTAAACCATTCGCAGAAGCTATTAAAATTAGTGAAATGGTGGAGAATGGATTGAAAACAGGCAGTATTCTGAGCATATCAGCCATTAGAGCAACCTCCCAAGCCATTCAAGGCGGGTCTGGAGGAATGGCCAAGGGTAAAAAGAAAGAAGAAACATCCATGGCGGCATCAGGTGCAAGAAGACACCGCTCCTAGACCCATGTTTTCAGAAAGAACCCCTCAGCATTATTATCCTCATCATGGCCTATGCTCCTCAACCGTATGCGATCATGAATGCTCAACCTTTTGTACGACCGCAGCAACATGCCAATAGAAACCAAGCTCCATTTCCAAGAAATCAGCCTCCTCACCAAAACCACTATAATCCCCATCCTCCACAGAATAACTTTCCTCCTCGTGAGCCACCCAGGAGGCAAACTTTTACTCCAATTGGTGAATCTTACTCCAATCTATTTCCAAAATTTGTCCAAATGGGTCTGCTGCAACCAGTTCGTCAAACGAGGCAAAACCCAGCATCGCCCGCTTACTAAGCCGGTGTTAGATGTGCCTATCGTTTAGGAGCGGAAGGGCACGATACAGGTGATTGTTAGACCTTGAAAAGAGCGGTGGAGAACTTGATAGAGTAAGGAAAGATATTTTTAAGGGATGAGGATGTCCCTAACTTGACTAATAACCCACTGCCAGCCCATAACAATGGGCCAGTAATTGGGATGATTTGCGAAGATAAAGAATTTGATCCGGCACTAAAGGCCATAATTGCCATTGCTGATGCGGAAAGAAAGCCAAAAGTTGCCCCAAAGCAAGATAAAGGGGAAAAGAAGAGCAAAGTCACCCAGTCAGAACCAAAAAAGAAAGTGTAAACAGGAACGGAGGCAATGCCTCCCAAAGATGGTGTTCTTTATGTTCCATGAGGCCGCAAAGAAAAGCAGCTGACTTTGAGCCCTCCAAAGATATTTGAATTGAAAAAGGGAGCCCAGATGTACGTACCCAAGGGAGCCTATGTGGTGCGGGGGACAATCAAACCATCGAGGCTGAATGAGCCCGTGGTTATTAGACGCGCACCACAGAAGCCTATGACAGATCCTACTGCAGTGCCATGGAATTACCATCAGACGGTGGTAACGTATAAGGGCAAAGAGATCTTGGGGGAGCTTCAAGAAAATCACCCCGTTGAGAAATACTCCAACATAGAAGAAGTGAACAACGCCACCAGAAGGCGTTTCCCATCTAAGAAACCTGTCAGTACCGAGGAAGCGGAAGCTTTCTTTCAGAAAATGAAGATGGCCGACTATGAGGTGGTTGATCAATTGCGAAAGTATCCTGAACAAGTATCCTTGCTGTCATTGCTGATGAAATCCCCTGAGCACCAAAAGGTTTTAATGAAGACTCTGAATGAAGCATACGTGCCAGCTGAAACTTCGGTAGAATAATTGCAAAGAATGGCGGAAAGATTTTTCGCTCTCAATCAGATTTCGTTCAGCAAAAACGATTTGCCTCAAGAAGGAGCTGCTCACAACAAAGCTTTGCACTTAACCATCAAATGTGAAGGATACTATGTGAAGAGGGTCATGGTAGACGGAGGTTCTGGGGTAGACATTTGCCCACTCTCAACACTACAGCGTATGGAAATCGGGACTGAAAGGATTCTTCCCAACAATGTCTGTGTGAGAGCTTTTGACGGTATCAAAAGAGACACCATTGGAGAAATTGACTTAATTTTGACTATTGTCCCGGTGGACTTCGAGGCGACTTTCCAAGTGCTAGACATGGACACGTCCTATAATTTTCTCCGTGGAAGGCCTTGGATCCATGCTGCAGGAGCTGTACCCTCTACCCTCCATCAAATGGTGAAATTTGAACACGAGGATCAGGAGATCGTGGTTCACGGAGAGGATGAACAATCAATCTATCGGGACCCATCCGTCCCATGCCTTGAAGCGAGGGAAGGCAGTGAGCACATAGTCTACCAAGCTTTTGAAGTCGTAGTGGCGGACCAACATAAAGAAGGAAAACCTTGCCCCCAACCCTTCATATCCAATGCTTCGATTATGGTGGCCAAGGAAATGATCAGACATGGTTTCAAGCCAGGGAAGGGACTTGGAAAAGCTCTACAAGGAATATTTGAACCAGTGACTCTGCCTACAACTGAAAAGTTCTTCGGGATAGGTTTCCTGCCTACCCCAGATGATATAAAGTGGGCAGATGAGAGAAAGAAGGAGGGATGGGTCTTGCCACATCCACTGCCACATTTGTATGAAACCTTTGTCAAGCCGAAGTACAATGAAGAGGAAAATGATGAGGCCTTTACGGCCGAAGAGATTGAGGAAATATGTGGGGCAATGAGGAAGATACTCTACGAAACCCACATGGTTCAGCCGGGAGAGGGCACAAGCACCACTGAGGTGCTATATATGGGATCGAGCACCTAGCTTCAAAATTGGAAGGCTACACCATTTTCGATCAGGCGGGAGTCCCGGTAGACCTGCCCTGCTACTTTTTCTGCATCCTGAGTTATTCCAGGGTGTAACTCGGATGCCTTCTTTAGTTTCTTGTCTTTAAATTTTCCAATGTAAACCCTGTTATCTTCAAAATTCCAAGAAATGAAATCAATATTTCATCGTTCATTTTTCTTTATTTCTTTCTGATTTTTGCTATTTTTCTCTTTTATTTCTTCTTTTCAGTTCTAATAATGCGGCTTTAAATAACATGACATGCTTGCGGACTTCATGCCCAGATCCAAACACGCTGTCTAATTGTGAAATAATGAACCAAGAATCGGAATATGATGAAGAAGTGGCTTTTAGGGAAATAAATCGAGAATTGGAACAATTTGAGAATAAACCTAAGCCAAACTTGAATGATACTGAGCCGGTTAACTTGGGAACTTCCGAAGAAATCCGGGAAACCAAAATAAGCATTCACATGGATGAGAAAACTCGGGATGCAATAATCCAACTCCTGTTTGAGTTTAAAGATGTGTTTGCTTGGTCGTATGATGACATGCCAGGGCTGAGTGTTGATCTAGTGGTTCATAAGTTGCCAACTTACCCCGATTGCCCTCCGGTCCAGCAAAAGTAGAGAGTTTAAAACTGACATCAGTGATAAGATCAAAGAAGAAATCACGAAACAGCTGAAAGCAGGGGTAATCCGAGTGGTCCGGTACACTACGTGGTTGGCTAATGAAGTCCCAGTTCCAAAGAAAGATGGAAAGACCCGGGTGTGTGTGGATTATAGAGATTTGAACAAGGCAAGTCCCAAAGACAATTTCCCTTTGCCCAACATCCACATCCTTGTTGATAACTGCGCCAAGCATGAGATACAGTCCTTCGTGGATTGTTACACAGGGTATCACCAGGTGTTGATCGATGAAGAAGATGCAGAGAAAACAACCTTCACCACACCCTGGGGTACATATTGCTATAGAGTCATGCCTTTTGGTCTGAAGAATGCCGGAGCAACCTGTATGAGGGCCATGACTGCCATCTTCCATGATATGATGCGTCAAGAGATAGAGGTATATGTGGACGACGTAATCATCAAGTCCAGAACCCAGGATGACCATGTTCAAGATTTGAGAAAGTTCTTCGAGCGGTTGCGCAAGTATGATCTGAAGCTGAATCCAGCTAAGTGTGCGTTTGGAGTCCCATCCGGCAAACTTTTGGGCTTCATAGTTAGCAGGAGAGGTATCAAATTAGACCCTACAAAGATAAAGTCTATCCGGGATTTGCCTCCTCCGAGAACCAAGAATGATGTGACGAGCTTGTTGGGCAGATTAAACTATATCAGCCGATTCATCGCTCAGCTGACTTCCACATGTGAGCCCATATTCAAGTTACTGAAGAAAGATGCAACAGTCAAGTGGACGGATGAATGTCAAGAAGCTTTCGATAAGATCAAAGAATATTTGTCAAATGCGCCAGTCTTGGTCCCACCGGAGCCAGGGAGGTCTCTTTTCTTGTATCTGACGCTCTTAGAGAATTCTTTCGGCTGTGTCCTCGGGCAACACGATGTAACTGGGAAGAAAGAACAGGCAATCTACTACTTGAGTAAGAAGTTTACCAGCTATGAAGCCAAATATACTCTGTTAGAGAGAACCTGTTGTGCTCTGACATGGGTTGCTCAGAAGCTGAGACATTATCTGCAAGCTCACACCACCTATCTCATAACCAGGTTGGATCCTTTAAAATACATATTCCAGAAACCAATGCCCACGGGGAGATTAGCAAAATGGCAAATTCTGCTCACTGAATTTGACATAGTCTATGTCACTCGCACGGCGATGAAAGCCCAGGCGTTGGCAGATCATTTGGCTGAAATCCGGTTGACGAGGAATACCAATCGTTGAGCACCTACTTCCCAGATGAAGAGGTAAATTCAATAGAAGCAATCCCTGAAGATACCCATGCTTGGAAAATGTTTTTTGACGGAGCGGTGAACGCCAAAGGTGTGGGAATTGGGGCAATCTTGATCTCACCCACTGGTCAGCACTATCCGGCCACAGCCAGGCTTCGGTTTTTTTGCACAAACAATACTGCTGAGTATGAAGCCTGCATCATGGGTATGAACATGGCGATTGACCAGGACGTTGACGAGTTGTTGATTATGGGGGACTCAGATCTGATTATCTGGAAAGCCCAGGGAGAATGGGAGACCCGAGATGTTAAGCTTATTCCCTATTGGCAACATGTGGAAGATCTTAGCAAGCTGTTCAAGTTGATAAAGTTTAGGTACATTCCCCGGTGTCACAATGAACTGGCTGATGCACTTGCCACTCTGGCCTCGATGCTGCCTTATCCGGGCAATGCCCACACCCCTTGGAAATCCAAATCAAAGAAAGGCACGGTTACTGTAACACGGTTGAGACAGAACCAATTACCCAGCCCTGGTTATCATGACATCAAAAGGTTTCTGAAAACGCAAGAATACCCCGAGCAAGCTACTGGAGATCAAAAGAGAACCATTAGACGGCATGCAAGTGGTTTCTTCTTAAGTGGTGATGTATTGTACAAAAGGACCCCGGATCTGAACTTGTTAAGATGTGTTGACGCCGAGGAAGCTGGAAGAATTATGCATGAAGTACACGCAGGAGTGTGCGGACCTCACATGAATAGGTATGTTTTGGCAAAGAAAATCCTTCACGCAGGGTATTACTGGATAACCATAGAAAAGGACTGCGTCAGTTTTGTCCGGAACTGCCATCAATGTCAGGTGCACGGTGATTTGATTCATGCGCCTCCAACAGAACTGCATCCTATGTCAGCACCTTGGCCATTTGTTGCCTGGGGTATGGACGTCATTGGGCTGATCGAGCCGAAAGCTTCAAATGGACATAGATTCATACTGGTTGCCATTGATTACTTCACGAAGTGGGTTGAAGCTATCACTCTCAAATTGGTCACCAAGAAAGTCGTGGTAGATTTTGTGCACTTTAATATTATCTGTCGTTTTGGCATTCCTGCAACTATCATCACAGATAATGCTGCAAACCTGAATAGTCGTTTGATGGGAAAGGTATGCGAACAATTCAAAATTACCCGTAGGAACTCTACTCCCTATCGGCCCAAAGCCAATGGTGCTGTTGAAGCAGCCAACAAGAACATCAAGAAGATTTTGAGAAAGGTGATTCAGAGCTCCAGACAATGGCATGAAAAGTTGCCCTTTGCATAACTGGGATATCGCACCACGGTGCGTACATCGGTAGGAGCAACCCCATACCTGTTGGTTTATGGAACTGAGGCTGTTATAGCCGCAGAGGTAGAAATCCCTTCTCTCCGGATCATCGTTGAACCAAAAATTGAGGATAATGAATGGATCAAGACTCGTCTGGAACAGTTGTCTTTAATTGATGAAAAACGGATGGCCGTGGTTTGTCACGGGCAGTTGTACCAACAAAGAATGGCCCGCGCTTATAACAAGAAAGTACGGCCCAGGAATTTTTAAGTGGGACAACTTGTGTTAAGACGCATTCTTCCTCATCACCAGGAAGCAAAAGGAAAATTTGCTCCTAATTGGAAGGGTCCATACATCATCCGAAAGATATTGCCGAGAGGAGCATTGTATCTCGGTGATATCGAAAGAAACGATCCCGAAGCAGCTGTGAATGCGGATGCAGTAAAAAGGTACTATATCTAGGCCTTCTGCGGTGATGACTTTTGTGCAATTGAGATGACGGAGGCTTTCATTCCCGCTACCCAAACACTATCAACCCTTTGCAAATCCATTTGAGTCGGTTACTCTTCTTTGATTACCCTCTTTGGAATCCGGAAGTACTATTGAAAAAAAAAATGAAAAATGAACGAAAATGATGAAAGAAAGAGAGAAGAAAAACAAAACAAAAAAAAACGAAAACAAAAACAACCAAAAACAAATATTTCCCTGAACTACGTCTGACTTGATTCCGAAAGGATACGTAGGCAGCCTCTCTCTGGGGTTCAGTCACACCAAAACAAAAATCCCAACTCCCCCAAAAAGTGAAACTGGGGCAGATGAAATAATGGCTTGGCCATGAGCCCACCAAAATGGTTCCAAAGTTGTAATTCCGTCCAAAATTCTTTTTACCCAAAAACCTTGTCCAAGTCCTTATGATCAATTGGCAAAGGCGTGGGAATAAAAAAAAACATCATTGTTGGAATATGATGCAGTCCAAATTGAGAGAAATAAAATGAGAGAGTCTTATCGGTGAAAACCTACGGGCACCATAAGGCGACGGTGAGTAGAGAAATTAAAAATGAGAGAGTCCGCTTAGTGAAAACTCGTAAAGAGCACTATCGGGCGATGGTGAGAAGATAAATGAGAGAGGTCGATTGGCGAAAACCTGCAAAGGGCGCTGTCGGCCGAGAAGACATCTCCCACCATTGAAAGTGTCCTGGCAAGTTTCCCTGGTTTTGAAATACGGGTCAATGAGTTTACGAGAAGTTGAGAAAGTTTGTGCGTGTCGGGCATCCAGTCCAAGACGCATGTCATGTCCATTTGAAGCCTGCATGCACCCCCAGATAAGTCCTTCTTCTCCCCTGAAAGGGACGCTTCTCTTCAAATTCATCCTCTCGCCTTTTGATTGCTTTTTCTTTGAATCCCTTTCGCTCTAACTCTGTTTCCAAGAAAAGGTAGCAAGACTGGTTTTACAGGGCTCTGCCTGGTAAAGGCTGAGGAAAAGTACCCAGTCTCAGCGGGCGCACCAAGCCAATCCCGATTGGCTATGATTGTTGATGCCTTCAAAGCAAAGGTATTGAAAAAGAAAGAAAGTCAAAGACAAAGGTCACAAGAGTAGAATAAAGTCAAAAGGCAAGAGCCCCACGCGGGCGAGTTGTGATGAAATCTCGAAAGTTGAGCCCTTCGGTTTGAAAGAGATTAATCTTTAAAACCAGCAAGCAGCAGAGGTTCTCGATAGAAGCTAGGACGGGATCAAGCAATCAAGGCCACAAAACCAACCACCGTTTCAAACTAACAATTGTTCTTTGTTTGAAAATTGAAACAGGTGCAATCCAGGCAACCGTGCAAAAGCAGGTGCAGCCAAAAGAAAAGAAACGCGCAAGTGCTGAAACAACTTTGCAGCAAATAATCAATGCAAAAGGGAAGTTTCCTCCAAGTTCTTTCCTGCATCTTATCAAAAAAAAAAAAGATGACAAAAGAAGAAAATCCCAAAAGAGGATAGCTTAGAATTCCCAATATCAACCTTGTATCCTGTTAGCCAACATTAGGGCCCCAATCCCTGAGTTGAGCTTTTTACCTTGGCTCCAATCCCTGAGTTGCGCCTCTTAGACATAGGGCCTCCATTCCCTAGTCGCCTTTCGCAATCATTAGGGCTCCAATCCCTGAGTTGAGCTTTTGACATGATGATCCTAGAAGGGGTAGGACATAGCTAACAAGCTAGGTGAAGCAGTAGGTCAATTAATGTTGAACAACAAAACAATAGATAGAAATAGATTACGAATATGATAAATTGAAGAAGTAGGAAACACATTGGTTTGAGAGCTTGAATTTAAAATCAGAACATACCAGTAAAGAGAGTAAAACACAAGGGGAATAACAGGAGAGTTTAATAATTAGTCTTGGCTTGCAACCGGCTAATTTAGTAACAATAGTAAGTAACAAAAGAAAGCAGAAGAGCTTTTGAGTGTATGAAAGATGTGAACTAATATGAGTTCGTGTGTGTAATGAAAAGAGAAGAGAGTATATATAATAGTTCGAAAGCTAGGTAAATAAGGCAAGAATCAATTGTTCAACAATTATAGAACTGCAAAATCAATTAAGAACAAAAATCAGCCAAGTCTCCCTTAATTAAGGGAGTAATTTTACCAACGGTAGAAAGCAGGTAACAAATAAGGAAAGGATTCAAACAACATAGGTACAGAATATGTAATTAGGGATAGATACATAAGGGTCTAATTAAGAAAATAATATAAGAATCAATTAACAGTATAGTCACCCATGTAAAAAAGCAAGAAGTAAACTAAAGTCGAAAATTATTAAATAATATTACCATAGGAAATCAGTAAAGGGTATCAATAAAAAAAAATTAGGGATTCAACTAGAAATAGTACTAATCAGAGGAAATTACCACAAATTTCTGTCAATAAACAAAGTAAATATAATATAGACGGGAGAAGCTAAATCAGAAACCCTAATGAGCATAAAAGGGGTAGAAAATCACAGAGACTCATAACATATGCATGAGAAACAGACATACGCACAAATCATACGAGAAAATAAGCAAAGACAGTCTCAGAACCCAAGATTGAAACCAAAAATTAGGGTTCTTAACATAGTTAATCAAATAAAAGGAAAAACTTAAATAAACCGTTTAAACATATTAAAAATCATAGATGAATACAAAAATCAGAAGAAAATGTGTTTTAAAAAGGGGTTACGAAACCCTAGTTTTGAAGACGAACAGGTGTTTTTTTTTTTGAAAAATCGGAGAGATTATCATAGAAAACAACAAAAATAACTCAAAATACACTCAGATCTTTGGTAGATATGAAGAGTTAAGAGATGAGTTAGGCTTTCAGAGAGAGATACCCCAGAGATGGAGAGATTCCGGCTTAGAAGCCATGGATCTAGCTGGAAAATAGAAAAATCTTACTCAGACGGGCCAAGGGTGGCCTCAGAACGGTGAGCACAGACCCTAGGTGTGAGTCAAACGGCCACTGGTCCCTTGAGGACCTCAGGGTAGCAAGAATTCGGCATGTAAGGGAGCCATGGAGGCTAGGGATTGTGGTTAAGCCACCATTATTATCGGCGAGCCAACAACCGGTGAGAGGAGCTTAGGGTTTAGCAGAGAGAGCTTGAGAGAGAATGAGAGGGTGAGACGATGGAGAGTGACGACAAAAATGAGGGTTTCGGGGGGGGGGGGGTAGTCTCCTAGGTTAATTATGGTGTGGGTGAATCTGGTCCGTTGATCAAAAATGATCAACGATCCATTAAATAAGAAATTGGGTCGGGTAGATTTAGGAATTGGGCCTGGGGTATTGGGCTATTTAATTGGGTTTGGGGTCTGGTTTAATTAGGCTAGAATTAAAAAAAAAATTGGCTATTTGTTAAATACCCATTTCAAATGAATAAAAATAATTTAAAAAATAGCTAATAATTATAAAAATTAGTTTCATGCACAGAAATAGTAAAAATGATTATTTAATATTTTAAAATCCAAATGATTAATTTCTAGTAAAAAATAGTATAAAAATAATATGATTGGGCTATAATTGCAATGTTATTATAATTGTAGCCAAACGACGCCAATTTGGCTGATTATGAACTAATTTGGTTTAAATAGGACCATAAATAATAAATTAAATCAAGAAGTGCTTTTGAAATCATTTGTAATGCCATTTTGTAATTATTTATTGGTAATAAAATGTTGGGTAAATAAATAAAATATAGGAAAATTATGGAAAAATACCAATTGCTACTGATGCATGATTTTGAAAGTACATATGCAATTTTAGAAAATATTTTGGGGAAAAATTGGGTATCAACAGCTGCCTCTCTTTACCCGGGAAGGATGAAAGAGTTTTCGGGTAAAGAAATGATAGCCAATTTTGGCCGAGCGAAACAGTTGGAGAGGTTAGGCCGCACCCTGGCTTCTGAGCTGCCTACATATCCCTGGTTTTATAGGAATGGGCCATATGTAGTTCAGGAGTCATCGGCGAAGTATATCGATGAAGTTTTACAAGAACGGATGCAACGTATAGGGTTGGACGAATAAGCGACTTACGGGAATGGTGAGGTTTGATATGGCTGGGAAAACAAGAGCGGGATTGCTCCTGCTGGGATAGCCGTTGCTCGCCGGGTTACCTGCAAATAGAAGCAATACAAGCATATACTGTGCATAAATTTAAACATGATGCAAGTTTCCGTCGGACCATGAATGTTGTCTTTGGACGGTTAGCAATGTCGTCCTAAGACCATGATGTCCTGGGCCATGGGTTGTTTGGTGCAGGATTCGCAGGCCATGAAATGATGTTCTCGGGCTATGAGGATGGTTCCTTCGAACCATGACGCCTTTGAATAATGATATGCAAAAGATTGAAAGAGATCCTCAGGCCATGACATCGTGTTTTTGGGCCATGAAGATGGTGCCTCCGAACGATGATGCCTTTGGATGAGTTGGCGATATTTCTGCCCATGAAGGATGCAGTAGTATGATGCAGACAAGACAGAGCTCAGTCTTGCGAATTGAAGGGTAGAGCTTAGCCCGTAAGAAAAATGAGATAAATAGTTCTTAAGATAACGCTTAGTTTCGAAGAAAATTGGAGGCAGAGCTTAGCCTCGAAAGGCAGAAAAGTAGCCTTATGCAAAGATGCGAATGCAGATGGAGGTAGACCTTAACCTCGGAAGGCAGAATGGTAGCCTTATGCAAGAATGCAGATGGAGACAGTGTTTAGTCTCGGAAGGCAGAATGGTAGCCTTATGCAAGTTGGAAGGCAAAATGGTATCCTTATACAAGTAGGAAGGCAGAATAGTAGCCTTATGCAAGTTGGAAGGCAAAATATTAGCCTTATGCAATGCAAAAGCAGATGGAGACAGCGTTTAGTCTCGGAAGGCAGAATGGTAGCCTTATGCAATTGGAAGGCAGAATTGTAGCCTTATGCAATGCAGATGCAGATGGAGACACCAGTTAGTCTCGGAAGGCAGAATGGTAGCCTAATGCAAATTGGAAGGCAGAATGGTAGCCTTGTGCAAGCTGGAAGGCAGAATAGTAGCCTTATGCAATGTTTAGTCTCGAAAGGCAAATGGTAGCCTTATACAAATTAGAAGGCAGAATGGTAGCCTTATGCAATGCAGATGCAGATGGAGACATTGTTTAGTCTCGGAAGGCAGAATGTTAGCCTTATGCAAGAAATAAAATAAGAAATGACAGTAGACTTTTCTTAGCTGATAGTAGATTGCGGCATTGTGATTACTGGGAGCATTGTGACTACGAAGAATTACTGGTGTGTGCTGATAGCAAATGTTGGCAAGTGCAACGGTTTTGAGAACAATGTTTGTCCCCTGGACGTACAGTATGTTTAACGATTTCGCAATCCTAATGCCTGCATCCAAAGAAAAATCGTGAGTTTTGTAAGAGGGAGGTTAGTTCGTATCCCTGCTAGCTTTGCTCGACTCGTTCAGCTTTGATCTGGTGATACCGTCTGTATCATTGGGGTAGCGTTGCTAAACAAAGCAGTTTCAATAACAAACATGTATGATTTTTTAACAGTATAATATGAATGTATAATTAAAGATAGCTTTTAGATAAACCGACGACTGTGACGTAGTTTAGGACATTAGAACCTCTATTGCTACAGAATTTTGAGGGTCCTCCTCAAAATTCTGCCCCAGTTTGATGGGTTGACGTTTCTGACTGTTGCTCATGCGGCGGTTGGTTGAAATTACTTCGGAATTTTGAGGGTCCTCCTCATAATTCTGCCCCAGTTTCCAATTGTGAGGGGAAATGAAATTTTTATAGAATTGTGATCGAAACCATAGGGCTTCCTACGTATCCCCTCTTAAACGGGAATCAGGTCAGGCGTAGTTCAATTTACATCATATAACGAAAGCATAAAGATTACACATAGTAACGTTTGACTGCATCTGAATTGATCGGCTTTGGCCCAACTTCTCCGTCCATTTCTGCAAGTATGAGGGCTCCTCCTGTCAAAACCCAGTAAACCATGTATGCACCCTGCCAGTTGGGAGAGAATTTCCCTTTGGCTTCATCTTGATGCGGAAGAATTTTCTTTAACACTAGCTGCCCCGGTGTGAACTGTCATGGCTTGACTCTTTTGT